AAAATTATTTATCACTATCTATAACTTATATAATATTGTACATCAAATTACTTCAATTAAAAAAAGCAATTCCTAAACATTGAAAGCAAAATAAAAAACGAACACTATGCATCCAGTGGTGACAAAATCATGGAGTAACTATTCAAAGCGACTTTAAAACACGGTAATTTGACTACATATTCCAAATAAGGATGCAAAAAAACCTCTTAAATACTTTATATCAGTTGGTGGTAGTGTTCATATTACTCTTCTGATACTGAAATATGTACAGTGTGGGATAAAACAATGAGTAATTAGAATCAAGATGTTTGTCTTAGAAGAAAAAAAGGTACAGGTGCAAGATTAAGAAGGTTAAATAGAATTCTGTCCTCTTGCTTTACAACTAGAAGTATCAGTAATCCATGATGTGTGCACTGAAAAGACCTAGAAACAATGATCAACTTAGTAGCAATGAACAACTCCAGGGCACAGATTGTGATTACTAAATACTATTTTTTCATTAAAAGAAACCAAGGTCCCTTGGAGAAATGATGATTCCAGGGCTGGGACAGAAAATGTACAAGGTGAGCCTGGTGCAGTTTGTCATACCAGAAAGAAGAGCAATCAAAGACCATTAAGAGTTGTGTCCAAAGGATTTAGGAGCCGATTTGAACAGATTCCTATTGGACAACGACGGAACAAGTTGAGCCTCAATAAGGATCTACAATGAATTGAACCATATCAAATACGTTTAAATCCATGAGTTCACAAGAACACAAATACATATACACAATTCATTGGCTATTTTGGGGGGACAACAGCTCATTATTTTGAAAACTAATAAAAAATGGAGCAGAATTAAGCGTTTATCTTGCCTTTCCTTAAAGAGTTATAATTCAAGATAACCAAATTACGAAGGAGGGGAAATTACTCTTTATAGAAATATTCAGCTAATCAATGATGAAGTTATATAATTAAATTATCAACATTTTTTAATGCCTCATGAAATAATGACTCTAAACATTGAGCATCAAGGGCTCCTAACAAGAAGAAAGACTACTTGCAGCAACATGGATGTACTTAGAGATTATCATACTAAGTGAAATAAGCCAGACAGAGAAAGACATATGATATCATATATCACACATATTACAGCATATGATATCACTTTAGTGAAATCTAAAAAAATGATACAAATGAACTTATTTACAAAACAGAAATAGACTCACAGACTGAGAAAACAAACTTATGGTTACCGAAGGGGAAAGGGGGATGGGGTAAGATAAATTAGGAATTTGTGATTAACAGATACTACTATGCATAAAGTAGATAAACAAGTGCCTACTGGATAGCACAGGGATCTATATTCAGTATCTTGTAATAACCTATATTGGAAAAAAATCTGAAAAGTATATGTGAATCACTTTGATGTACACCTGAAACACTGTAAATCAACTATATTCAATTAAAAAAAAAAGACTACTAATTCTTACCTGCCTACTAACCTATGAAGTCTTCTTGCCAAAAATAAATCAAACCTGAATCTGACTATTCCTTCAGCTCTAACTAAATTAGATTACATTTACAGCAAATTCTGTGTAAACTACAGAAGAATAAAATCCAGACTGTGTGTAATTCCACAGAACAAACCACCAATTTCAGCAACAAATAAATTACAAGAGATAACAAAAGATGGAGGAGCCTATAGATTAAAATAAGCCACAATGTATGAATAGCATTTGGATCCTGATTCAAACTGTTAAAATCAAGAAAATTTCAACACTAGTTGGATATTTGAAGGTAATAAGGAATTCTGTGAGAGTGGTATCTGTATTTATCTTTTTAAAAAGATGTATATAGGGCTTCCCTGGTGGCACAGTGGTTGAGAGTCCACCTGCCGATGCAGGGGACACGGGTTCGTGCCCCGGTCCGGGAAGATCCCACATGCCATGGAGCGGCTGGGCCCATGAGCCATGGCCGCTGAGCCTGCATGTCCGGAGCCCGTGCTCTGCAACAGAAGAGGCCACAACAGTGAGAAGCCCGCGTACCACAAAAAAAAAAAAAAAAAAAGTATATAGATATACATACAGAAATACTTAACGGCTAAAATGATATGACATCTGGGTTTGGGGGTACAGATAAAGCAAAACTGGCCATGAGTTAATAACTGCTGAAGCTGGATGAGGGTAAAGAGACGTTTACTATACTAGTCTCTCTACATGTGTGGGAAGAATTAAACATGTAAAAATAAATAAACAAGTCCACATACTCAGCAATAAAAAGGAACAAAATTGGGTCATTTGTAGAGACACAGATGGATCCAGAGACAGTCATACAGAGTGAAGTCAGAAAAAGAAAAACAAATATCGTATATTAACGCATATATATGGAACCTAGAAAAATAGTACAGATGAACCGGTTTGCAGGGCAGAAACAGAAACACAGAAGTAGAGAACAAACGTATGGACACCAAGGGGGGAAAGTGGTGGGGCTGGTGTGATGAATTGGGAGATTGGGATTGACATGTATACACTAATAAGTATAAAATAGATAACTAGTAAGAACCTGCTGTATAAAAAAATAAATACAATAAAACTCAAAAATTCAAAATAAATAAACAAGTCCAGTTAAACTCTAAGTTTCACATAATAAAAATGTCTTTTTTATATTAGCTGTCAAACTGTTAAAAAATTATGATGATCAATAAAATTTTAACACTGGCTGGATATTTGATTATTTTTAATTTTTTTAAAGTATCTTTTAAAGCATTTCAGTATTTTCTGATTCAATACAAGGACTACTTGAAAGAACTAACTAAAAACTAATAACCGATCTAAAGAAACAGTTTTTATAGTAAAATCAATAACAAAAAACTGAATACCAAACAAAACCTTACCAATATCGGAGAGCATCAAACAGTTAAAGGAGAAACGGTGAGGTGTATAAATTATATTTTAGAAAGGAAACTATCCCACCTTTTGGAAACTGGGTAGAATTTAGATTCCTGTCATTCAGTGAGCCTCTGTAACTAAAACCACACAAGCAGTAAAACAAATCATACCATTTGTCCTGCTGTAACCCACGTCAAAACTCTGAAAAGGGCTTCCCTGGTGGCGCAGTGGTTGAGAGTCCGCCTGCCAATGCAGGGCACACGGGTTCGTGCCCCGGTCCGGGAAGATCCCACACGCCGCGGAGCGGCTGGGCCCGTGAGCCATGGCCGCTGAGCCTGCGCGTCCGGAGCCTGTGCTCCACAACGGGAGAGGCCCGCGTACCGCAAAAACAAAAACAAAACAAAACAAAACTCTGAAAAGCAGTTGGGACTGCCAAAACCATCCACTTCTCTAAATAACAACTTTACTATGGAATATTACTCAGCCATAAAAAGAAACGAAACTGAGTTATTTGTAGTGAGGTGGATGGACCTGTCTGTCATACAGAGTGAAGTAAGTCAGAAGAGCAAAACAAATACCATATGCTGACACATATAAATGTAATCTAAAAAAAAAAAAAAGAATGGTCATGAAGAACCTAGGGGCAAGACGGGAAGACGCAGACCTACTGCGTCTTCTGCGAATGGACTGGGACAAATCTGCGAATGGACTGGGAACAAAGTGAGAGAGTGGCACGTACATATATACACTCCCAAATGTAAGACAGCTAGTGGGAAGCAGCCACATAGCACAGGGAGATCAGCTCGGTGCTTTGTGACCACCTAGGGGGGTGGGGTAGGGAGGGTGGGAGGGAGACGCAAGAGGGAGGGGATATGGGGATATATGTATACATATAGCTGATTCACTTTGCTATACAGCAGAAACTAAAACACCATTGTAAAGTAATTATACTCCAATAAAGATGCTAAAAAGAAAAACCAACTTTACTATTCTAGTTTAACCCACAGTCAGAATACTAAGATTCTGGATTTTAAAAAGTAATTTACACGTGGGCTGGCACCTGCCCATTAACTAAAGACTGCAGTTATTACAATCCCACCCTCATACAATTCACCCTCTTTGCCTGGGATGCCCTCCCCTCTTTGGTGCCTGCTGAACCCCAGCTCACTGACTCCGACTCGTTTTCACTGGGGGCTTCTACTGATGTGTTCAGCAAAGAGGACAGCAGCCTACTTCCTATCCCCATTAAGATTTAACCAATTTTTCACCCGCAAAAAAACCTTTCTGTAACAACTTATCAGCACTGCACACCGCTCTCAGCTATGTTTTTGGTTCTTGGGGATAGGACAAATTGCTTTATGTCATTTAGGCATAAAATCATATGGTCACACCACCAGCCGTCGGAGGTTAACCGAAATACTTACTTTAACGTAAGACTGCATGAAGTGAACACAAAGACCTGGAAAATATCTTGAGCCATGAATTACTTTTACAGCAAAAATAAAAGTAATTGCTAAAGGCAGAGACCCTCTGACACCCCCCCCCGCCCCACTAAAAGAAACGAAAAAGAAAGGAAGGAAGGAGAGGGCGAGATGACCAACAGCTCCTTCTCTAATAAAGTTGCAGGACAACCCTATTACCATCCGTAGGCAGATACGGCTTTTCTGTTTGGGCAGAAGCTGTCGTTTTTTCAAAAACACGAGAGCAGACGGGCAGAACCCGGATGCCCGCGTCTGTCTGCATCTGTGCTCGAACCCTGGAGCCGTCAGCCCCGCGGGCCACTGACCCGGCGGCCGCGAGCACCGCGCTGACCCAACGTCCGGCCCGGATCCTCCTTTCCCACACGGGCGCCCGAAGCCCACCACCCAGTCCACCGACGAGCTGCCCAGGCGCTCCCACAGACCAGCCCGTGCGACGAAGGGTCTGCAGGGCGTCGGCCCCTCTGCGCCAGTCAAGGCCGACGGCCAAACGACGGGAACCCCACCCCCGCCCGCCCAGGACAGCCCCCCGGGGCCGCCTCCACCCTCCGCGCCGCCGCCACAGGCGCCGCCGCCACTGGCCCCGCCGCCACAGGCCCCGCCGCCCGGCCTGGAGGCCCGGGCCTGCCGCCGTCCTGCACACGGGCCTCACCTCAGGGTCGAATCGCGGGCAGCGCGCAGGCTACCAGGTCTGAGCGCGGCCGCCGCCCGTCGCTCCGGCTCCGCCCCCTGTCCGCCGCGCGCACCCTGCCGGCTGCCCCCACCGGCCTGCCCGGCCTCCCGCCCCCTCAGCCCTCCGCACAGCCCCAGAAGCCCGAGCTGGGTGCGGCCTGAGGCGCCGCAGCCCAACAACGCACCACCCCATAGGCCCAGCCCTTGCTGCACCTCCAAGCAACACGTGCTGCTATTGGCTGAGAGAGGGCGGGAGAGGTGGGGTGGGGCCTGGGTGGGAGGGGTTACAGCCTCTGGCCACCGCTTTTCCGGGGACGGACTTCGGGGGCCGCGCCCTCCCCCTGCGGACGAAGCAGGATCCAAAGTGTGGGGACGGCCAGTTGCAGCCCCTCATGCCTCGTCGCTGAAGCAGGCCGGGCCGTCGTGCCAGCGGCGCCCGCTCACCCAGAGCCGTTCCGTCACGCATTCATTGTTGCTGGTCAGGCTCGTGGAGGTCTCCTGCGGGCCAGATTCGTGCGATGCGCAGGAGAGCTTACCAAAGGGTAGTTTGCAGGCCCTGCTCAGCCTGAGGCTGGGGGCCTCTCCCTGTCCGCCTCGCCCACTCCTCCAGTGGACGGACCCTGCCCCCTGCCCCCTGTGCCCAGCCCTGTGCTGGTCTGCATCCAGAAGCCCTTGCCAGGGTGCCCGGGACCACGGGCAAAGTTTGGGGCCGGGCTGGCAGCCAGGCGGGGCCAGGACAGCGGGGCCTGTGGATCCCGATAAGGCTCCATCGACGCGGCCGCTGCCTGATGCCTGGAGCCTGGCCTGCTGATGCTGCTTGAAAGAGCACAGTCACTGCAGCAGAACCAGGGCATTGGTGAGACCAGGCCACCTGCCAGTGACCTGAAGGCAAGACTAGAGATCACATCAGCACCTGCCCCAGAACTGCCCCTCCTTGTCTCATCCGAGTCCCCAAAAGACCCGGGAGACATATGGGCTAGCTCCCTTTATACCCATAGAAAGTTGAGGCCCAGAGCTGAGCAGTGGAAGAATAGTGTGGAATCCAGACCTTCCCTCCCTGCAGGGTCCCCTTTGGCCTTGTCCACAGAGGGTCGGGGATACTGTCTATGCATAATAGACAGTAACCTCTGATCTCCTGGACACTGGCTTTTCTCAGAAGACTTTTCTGACAAGACTCCACAATTCTGCATCTATCACTTCTGTTTCCCTTGCACCCAGCAACAAGGCCTGGCCCACAAGAGGTGTCAGTGGGGGCTTGCTGGAAGGAGGAAGGGAGGAGTAGAAGACGACTGAGCATGTTAAGTAGAGACATAGAAGATACAAAAAAGACCCAAGTCAAACAAATAAAGGTGAAAAACAATGTCAGAAATGAAGAATACACTGGGTGAGATCAACAGCAGATTAGACCCAGGGACTTCCCTGGTGGTACAGTGGTAAAGAATCCGCTTTCCAATGCAGATTCCGTGCTTCCACTGCAGGGGGTGTGGGTTCAATCCCTGGTCAAGGAACTAAGATCCCACATGGCCACGGGGCAACTAAGTCTGCACACCACAACTACTGAACTCGCGTGCCTCAATGAGAGAGCCTGCATGCCGCAAACTGTAGAGCCCATGCACTCTGGAGCCCATGCACCGCAACTACAGAGCCCACGTGCCCTGGAGCCCACAGGCCACAACTAGAAAGAGCAAACCTGCACGCCACAACTAAAGAGAAGCCCACACGCCACAACTAGAGAGAAGACCATGCGCCACAACCAGAGAGAAGGCCACACACCACAAGGAAAGATCCTGCGTGCTGCAACTAAGACCCAACGCAGCCAAAAAAAAAAAAAACCAGAAAAAAAACCCAAAACAAAACAAACAACAGATTAGACCCAGCAGAAGAAAATCTTAGTGAACTTGAAGACATGAAAAAAGAAACTAAATGAAACAGAGAGAAAAGAGCTTGGAAAAGAATGAACAGAGCACCAATGAGCTGTAGGACAACTTCAAGAGGGCTAGTATAGATGTTAATTGGAGTCCCTGAACATAGAGGTGAGTGTTGGGAGGACAGAAATACTGTTTGAAGATATAATGGCTGAATTCTTTTAATTTCATGAAAACTACAAACCCACCCAGATCCAAGCAGCTCAAGAAGTAACTTCTGGGGACTTCCCTGGTGGTCCAGTGGTTAAAACTCCATGCTTCCACTGTTGGGGGTGTGGGTTCAATCCCTGGTCGGGGTATAAGATCACACGTGACATGCAGCATGGCTTCCCCTATGCTGTAACTTCTGGCTTGCTACTGAGCTCCGGTAGAAATGCAGTGTTTCTATGGGACATCTGAGGCCAGAACTGCCCATCACTTGGTTCTGTCAGACCACCAAGGCATAAAGCCAGGTAGGTAAATCATCTGAAAGCATCTGATCCAGGATTGGATTCACGTACTTACTCTTATAGCTGTGATACTTCTCCCTTAGCGCTCACCTGTGGTCTCAGGGGATTCCCTGTGACACAGTGACAGAGGAGGAAAAAGTATATGCTTGGTCCATGGGAAGGTTGGCTAAATATGTTGGTGTGGCCTGAAAATGGCCTAATGCTGCACTGTATCCCCATTCAGTGGTCACCCTGAAAGAAGGTGGCAAAGGGAAATCATCCCGATAGGCAAAGCTTGCAGTAGTGAACTTGACCACTCACTTTGTGGGAGGGAGACATGGCCTGAACTCATGGGCAGTGAGAAATGATTTAGCTGCTTGGTCAGGAGCCTGGACGGAGAAACGTGGAAGTTCAGGGACAAGAGGTATGGGGAAGAAGCATTTGGATGGACCTGTGAGAACTGGCACAAAGGATGGAGATCTTTGTATTGCATATTAATGTCTACCAGTGAGCATCCACCACAGAGGCTCTAAACACCAAGCAGATGGAATGGCTCAGCCAATGGGGATCAGCTAGGATCTGTCCTCTGCCACCACAATTGTCTCATCAATGAAGTAGCCATGGTGGCAGGGTGGAGGCTATGCATGAGCCCAACAGCACAAGCTCCTCATAACCAAGGCTGATCCAGCTACTGCCACTGCCAGTGTCTAACCTGTCAGCATCAGAAACCAAGGCTGAGGCCCCTGGAGGAGCCAACCGGCCACTTGGTGGCAAGTTGATTATACTGGATCCCTTCTACCCGAGAAAAAGCAATAACTCATACTCACCAAGATAGATTGCCATGTATCTGGGTGTGGATTTGCCTTTTCTGCCTGCAGTAATTAAGCCAGCACCATTATCAAGAGCTCACAATGTATCTGGTTTGCTGACCTGAAATCCCACATAACTGCCTAGCACTAAAGGACCTGCTTTATGGCAAAGGAGGTATGGCAATGGGCACATGACCTGGGACCCACCATTTCTGTCACAAACTGTACCATCTAGAAGTTGCTGATCTACTAGAGATGGACTAGGCACATGAAGGCTCAAATGAGGCTCCAACCTGGAGATGGCATCCTGGGAGGTTAGAGCACTGTCCTCCAGGAAGTGGTACATACTCTGTACCAATAAGTAACCACTTGGGACTTCCCTGGCGGTCCAGTGGTTAAGACTTCGCCTTCCAATGCAGGGGGTGTGGGTTCGATCACTGATCAGGGAGCTAAGATCCCACATGCCTCGCAGCCAAAAAAACAAAATATAGGGCTTCCCTGGTGGCGCAGTGGTTGAGAGTCCACCTGCCGATGCAGGGGACACGGGTTCGTGCCCCAGTCTGCGAAGATCCCACATGCCGCAGAGCGGCTGGGGCTGTGAGCCATGGCCGCTGAGCCTGCGCGTCCAGAGCCTGTGCTCCGCAACGGGAGAGGCCACAACAGTGAGAGGCCCGTGAACCCCAAAAAAAAAAACAAAACAAACAAAAAAAACCCATAAAACAGCAGCAATATTGTAACAAATTCAGTAAAGACTTTAAAAATGGTCCACATCAAAAAAAAAATCTTAAAAAAAATAAAAGAAGTAACCACTTTACGAGGCTCCGTCCCTAACAGGTGGGCTACCCAGTCACCGCCTTGAGGAATTTGCACTTCCTGCTCTGCAACATTAAGTACTGAGCCTAGAGGTTTGGATTACCAAAGAGGACATTTCTACCCAGGGACCTAGTAAAGCTGAAGCTATGGCTGCCACCTGGTCACGTGGGACAACTTATGTTAGTAGATCAGTAGGCACAGAAAGAAGTGGCCACATTGGCAGGGGTAACCAACCCTCGTTGTTGTATGTAGGGCTGCCAGCCTCATGATGGGGGCAGGCAGGAGTGTGTTTGGCACTCAGGCATTCCGAGGGGCAGGGTAGCTCTTGGTTCTCCCATACCCAGTGACTGTAAACAGGCAAGCATGGCAACATGGCCTAGTAAGCACAGGCTCCCAGGGACTCGAAGAGCCAAAAGCCTAGCCATCAAGAAGAGAAATCTAGAAAGGGTGGTGGAAAAGGGAGGTGTTGGGTATCATTTGTGGTTTTGAGTCCAACTGCAGCAGTGGGGGCCACATAGTTCATCCCTCTACCCATCTCTCGGAAGTTCTCCCAGATACTGGAACCAGTGAGAATACTGAAGAGTCTGTGTCTGAATGGACTGAACTTAATATGAGAAACAAGTGGATCTCAGCACTTCAAGGGGTGGACTTGGTAATTGCCATTGGTGCCCGGTCCAGATCCCCATTCCACGTTGGTGCTAAAAGTGGTCCCCTCTCCAGGTGCTGTGAATGTTAGCTACTAATTGCCCAGAGAGCCCCTTTTGCCAGAGTGCTGCCCTTGCCCAGGAGATTATCTCCCTACCCAGACAACCCCTGGCCAATAATGCTGATCCAGGGTCATACAAGTCTGGTCCCCTCAAAGCAAAACCAACTCTGTAGGACAAGGCACATTCCAAAGCTTCCTGTAGAACCAGGCTAAAGCTAGTCTCCAGCTGAGACCACCTCTTTCCCGTGTTTTTTCCTTTGCACTATCCTGATTCCCCCATTCAGCTTATCCTGAGACTACTTGCACAAGAGCAATAAATCAATTGCACAAGATCCCTGTTTCAGGTTTTGCTTCTAAAGAACCCAATCTAAGAAAATTGTAATAAGAAATACTGTCGGGACTTCCCTGGTGGTCCAGTTGTTAAGACTCCGCGCTCCCAATGCAGGAGGCACAGGGTCAACCGCTGGTCGGGGAACTAGATCCTTCATGCTGCAACTAAAGATCCCGCATGCCACAAGGAAGATCCCACATGCCGCAACTAAGACCCGGGGCAACCAAAAATAAATAAATAAATAAATATCTAAAAAGCAACAACAAAAAAGAAATACTGTCTACAAGTCAACACCAAAAAAGCAAACAACCCAATTAAGAAATGGGCAGGGCTTCCCTGGTGGCGCAGTGGTTGAGAGTCCGCCTGCCAATGCAGGGCACACGGGTTCGTGCCCCGGTCCGGAAGATCCTACATGCCGCAGAGCGTCTGAGCCCGTGAGCCATGGCCGCTGAGCCTGCGCGTCCGGAGCCTGTGCGCCACAACGGGAGAGGCCACAACAGTGAGAGGCCCGCGTACCGAAAAAAAAAAAAAAGAAATGGGCAAAGTGGAGTTCCCCAGTGGTCCAGTTGGTAAGACTCCACGCTCCCAATGCAGGGGACCAGGATTTGATCCCTGGTCAGGGAACTAGATCCCACATGCCACAACTAAGAGCCAGCGTGCTGCAACTAAAAGATCCTGCATGCCACAACTAAAGATCTCGCACGCTGCAATGAAGATCTGGCACAGCCAAATAAATAAACATTAAAAAAAAGAAAAGAAATGGGCAAAGGACTTGAATAGACATTGCTCCAAAGATATACAGATGGTCAATAAGCACATGAAAAGATGCTCAACATCACTAAGCATTAAAGTGCAAATCAAAATCACCATGAGATACCACTTAACATCCATTAGGATTGCTATTATTTTTTAAAAAGAAAAGAAAAAATAAGTGTTGACAAGGATGTGGAGAAATTAGAACCCTTGTGCATTGCTGGTGGGAACATAAAATGGTGCAGCCACTGGGGAAAATGATATGGTGGTTCCTCAAAAAGTTAAAGAATTACCATATGACGTAGCAATTCCAATTCCTGGTATATACCCAAAAGAACTGAAAAGAGACTCTTAACACTTATTTGTACATCCATGTTCATAGCAGTGTTATTAACAATAAACAAAAGATGGAAGCAACTCAAGTGTCGTTGACGGATGGATAACAAAATGTGGTCCATCCATACAATGGAATATTATTTCTTTCCTTAAAAAGGAAATTCTGGGGCTTCCCTGGTGGCGCAGTGGTTAAGAATCCTCCTCTCAGTGCAGGGGACACGGGTTCGAGCCCTGGTCTGGGAAGATCCCACATGCCGCAGAGCAACTAAGCCCATGCACCACAACTACTGAGCCTGTGCTCTAGAGCCCACGAGCCACAACTACTGAGCCCGCGTCTCACAACTACTGAAGCCCACATGCCTAGAGCCCGAGCTCCACAAGAGAAGCCACCGCAACGAGAAGCCCGCGCACCACAACAAAGAGTAGCCCCCACTCGCCCCAACTAGAGAAAGCTCTCACGCAGCAACAAAGACCCAATGCAGCCAAAACATAAATAAATAAATAAATAATTTTTTTTAAAAAGAGGAAATTCTGACACATGCTACAACATGGATGAATCTTAAAGACATTATGCTAAGTGAAATAAGCCAGTCACAAAAGGACAAATGATGATTCCACTTGTATGAGGGAACTAGAATAGTCAAATTCATAAGACGGAAAGTAGAATGGCGGTTGCCTGGGCTGGAGGAGGGGGAATGGGGAGTTACTATTTAATGGATACAGAGTTTCAGTTTTACAGGATGAAAAGAGTTATGGGGATGGATGGTGGTGATGGTTCACAACAACGTGAATGTACTTAATGCCACAGAACTGCATGCTTAAAATGGTTAATTTATATTATCTATATTTTATCATCATAAAAAAGTTTAAATGCTATTAAAGTACACCTTCCTTTTCCAAGAAAAAAAAAAAGAAATACTGTCTTATGTAGGAGTTAAAAAAAAAAAACACAAAACTAGACACATACAATAAATATCAAGTAATGAGGAGCTCAATGAAGTTAAAAGTCACCTGAAGGGAATTCCCTGGCGGTCCAGTGGTTAGCACTCTGTAATTCCACTGCAGGGGGCACGAGCTCCATCCCTGGTCAGGGACCTAGATCCCACATGCATGACACAAGTGAGAGTTCTCATGCTACAACTAAGGAGCCCACATGCCGCAATTAAGACCCGGCACAACCAAATAAATTAATTAATTAAAAAAAAATAGTGGGCATGGTGTTATTTGGGTGGTGTCATCCAATAAACTAAATTTGAAAAGAAAAAAAAAGATATAATTAAGCAACAGTAAGTAAGAGAGCTTGGTATTGGTATAGAAACAGACAGACAAATAGAACAGAACAAAGAGTCCAGCCACAAACCTACACATATATGGATATATGGCAAGTGGCGTTGCAGATGGCTGGGGAAGGGACAGGTTATAAATAAATGATGCAGGGGTAGGTGGGGTAACCCTATGGGGGGGAAAATGAAAGTGAATCTTTATCTCTTGCTATGTGCAAAAAACAATTATACAGTTGGAGAAGATATATATGATACATGTCACTGACAATATTGAGGCTATATAAAGAATTCTTATAGACTAATAAGAAAACAACAGGAAAATAGGCAAAAGATTTGAATAGACACTTCACAGGAGAGAAGATCAAAGTGGTTAGTAAATACATGAAAATGTGCCCAACCTCATTAGTAATTAGCTAAATGCAAATTAAAGCCATAATTAAACACCCACCAGACTGGCAAAGATGAGGAAAAGTCTGACAATACCAAGTGTTAGCAAGGATGTGGAACCAAGGGAAGTCTCTTTTACTGCAAAATTCTTGGAAAACAGTGAAAGGCCCTAGAACTCAGGAGTGAGACTCCTGGGTACATACCCGAGAGAAACTTGTGCACACATGCATCACAAACACAGATAAGACTGTTCCTAGTAGCACTGTCTGTGATTGTCCCAAACTACAAACAAACTAAACGTGCATCCACAGTAAAATGGATCCATGAACTACGATACACTCAATGGAACAGTTTTCAGCGATGAGTCTGAACAAACTACAGCTACGCACAGCAACCTGGACAAATCTCAAAGATGTAACGAGCAGAGGCCAGACGCCAAAGGTTGCATCTGTATGATTCCATTCACATAACGTGCGAAAACAGGAAAGCACTGTGATGGATGAAGCCTTCATAGCAAAACAGGAATGTGAGCCTCCCCAAAGCGAGGGCAGGGGTTACTTGTGAGAGAGGAAGGGGGTGGCGCTGAGCTGGGGAGGGCACACGGGGCCTGGTTCACTTCATAGCAATTTGTTACGCTGTACATTTGTGTTCTGTTCACTTTTCTGGATGTGTTTCATTCCACCGGAAATGAAAGGAGAAAGGAGGTGCCTCAGCTCTGAGTAGCTCAGAGCATGACCAGGGATGCAGCTGGAGGGCGACACAGGGGCAGCTGTCAGGCAGCCTCTGCGGTTTCTGAGGAGCAAAGGAAGTCTGAGGGAGGCAGATGGGTCAGGTCTGCTTTGCATCCCACGACTCTCCCTCCCGAGAGAGTGCTGGTGGCTTGGTGCGGGATGGCCACTAGCAACCATCTCCGGGGCACAGACAGGGGCTCCCTGCTGCCGAGTCACAGGCAGAGACAGGCTGTGGCCTGCCCCTCACTGCCTCTCTAGAGACACACAGATTTGGCTCAAGGGCCAGCTCTGCCTGGTATTCCCTGGGTGGCCTTGCTGTCCTCTATGCCATGCCCTGCAGAGGCCAGCCCAGTGCAGCCCAGCTGGACGAGAAGCCCCTTGGGCCCAGGCCCCTGGTGCTCAGCCTGCGGTGCCAGAAGTTCCCCCTCGGACCAGCAGGGGGCGTCCGTGCAATGTGACCCAGAATTGGCATGGGGACCGGAGCAACCCTGGCTTGGTTTGTGAGGTCTCTTCTGGTTCTAAAAACATCTTTTGACAATAAAACTCTCTATGAACAGAAGGTACAGAGGCTCACTGCACTCCTTCTGATGAACTGCAGGAAAAGTAAAACCATGTTCAGTGCTCAGCTTGGAGAAGCTTCCCAAAGCGTCCAGGGCCCTCTTCCCTGGCACAGGAATTGAACCATCTCTGGACTCACCATCAGGATGCGCAGGTCAGCGAAGCCTCTCTGAGCCTCAGTTTCCCTATCTATAAGGTGAGGGAGCAGCACAGCGCCTCGGGTGGGGCCCCCATCAGTTTACCCGCAGACTGTGGCTGGGAGGGCAGAACAGTGAGGCAGGTCAGCCTTGTCCCCCCCCCTCCCCGGAGCTGTGGCCCCCTCGCTGGGTGAAGGCGTGCCCAGAACCCCGGGAGGCAGGCTAACCAGACACCCTACAATGACTGTCCGAGGCCGCGCGGGTGGCAGGGAGCTAGGCGGGGGCCAGGGTCTGGGCTCAGCAGCGAAGGACAGATCACACGGCTGGGTCTGGAATCCAGGCCTCTCTGAACCTGGGTGTTCTCACCTGTAAAACAGTTTGCCTGGAGGGCAGCTATTAGACCTAAGTCAAGTGTGCAGCTGAGCACCTTGAGTACAGGAAGTGCTCAGCCAGTGGTAACCACCCTCCAGCCCTACGTGAGGAATAGAACATTCATGGCAAGTCTCGGGAGAGTGGGACCCCTTCCAGCCCCTCCTGCGTGCTGGAGGACCGTGCCTGGGGCCCCATCCACTACCCTCCACACACACACTCTAGCAACCGAGGCCCTGGGCCTGGGGTGTGAACTCAGAGGAGGGCAGCTGTCCCGGCAGGCCCTGGGCTGGGCTCTGGGGTGGGCCTCTAGCAGTGACAGGTCTCATCTGTCCAGGCAGCCAGAAGGACCTATCACCTGGCTCTGGACACCAGAACCCCCCAACCTTCCAGCTCAGGGGTCTTCAAGTATGAGCTGGCTGCCAAGTGGCTGCGTGTCAGCTAAAAGCATTAGTGTCATGTGTCCTACAGCAATCAGCAGCACAGCAGACCCCAGAAACTGCTGGAAATGCTTCTCTGATTTCACAGGAAGGGAAACTGCAAGCCACAGTGGGGACTGGTGTGCGTCACTGGGCTCAGGGCAGTGGACTGCAACTGCAGGAAGGAGGAACTGCTGGTTTCCCACAGATGCTGCGGAAGGAACACCAGGGGCTCCGGTTTCCCCAACTCCACCAGGCGGCTGAAGAAGAAACATCTGTAGAGGTGGTGCTGGACACTCGGTTCCTGGGAGGAGATGGCTGCTGTCTCCCCTGCTGCACCTCCAGGAGCCTCCCACCTGACTGGACTTCTCTCTCCTCCTCCAACGACCTCACCCCAGGACATGCCCAGGGCAGGGGAGGGGACGTCCAAAGGGCCTTCCTCTGGGACCATTAATCAATGGCTAGTGGGCACATAGGCTCTTGTGGCTTGGCTTTTACATCGCAAATTCCTCATTCCCAACACAAAGTGCAGCGAGGAGCAAATGACCCTGGGTTCCCTGCCAGCCCTGACACCCAGTTGAGTCTGTTTTTATGAGGAAAAGAAAAAATTCCAGCTTGGATGGCCACGCCAGGGAGAGCAGGCTGCTGGGATTCCGTGACAGGAAGCAAGGGGATGATCGGTGCTGGGCCTACACCAGGCATGGACCAGACAACTTGGGCATCTGGATACCACTGTCCCCACCCACCCCTGGCCGACACAGGGCCTACTCTTCCTGCAGCACTGTAACCATCACTTCCTCCAGGAAGTCTTCCTGGAGCCCCCAGCTGCGTTGCAAGCTCCCAGCCCCTGCACACCCCGCTGCCATGGACGGTGGGCGCTGTGCATACCTTCTGCCCGGTTGTCTCCCGGTAACCACTGGTTAAGCCAACGAATGACCCAGTTACTGATGTGAGGGGCCTCACTGCCCTGGACCTGACTTCTGGCGGCAGAACCCGGCGTTCTGGATACAGGCTCTGGGCCCAGACTGTTCAACTTTTTGGGTCCTGTTCTGTTACCAGCTGTGGACCCAAGGGTAAGTCATTTAGTGCCCTGTGGCCTAGAAAACAAGACCACCTCCTAGAGGTCCCGTGAGCTGACCTGCTACAGTCAACACTTGGAGGCTGGTGTGGGTACTCAGTAAGGCTGGCCGTGCCCCCTTCCCAGTGCAGCCCTGGCCACCGGGGCAAAGGTCATCTGTGCTTTATTGTGCGGCACCGGCCCCTCACGGAGCCTGTGTTGTAGCGTTCCTGGGGGTCCAGCCCCTGCCCAACCGCAAATACCTCAGCCCTACCCAGCTCCCGGCCCAGTGCCAGGGGGGCGTGCTGGGGGTACCAGAATTTCTGTAAATCAAGTCCAGACTGGGCTCAGTCCTAGGCTCCTGGGAGGTGGGCAGGGTGAGACAGGAGAGCCCCACACAATTCCCTGGAGCCCAGGGCCTGGCCAAGCCCCGGGGGACCCAGCCTGCTGGGCGGGGCCTGGCCTGGCAATCTCTGTGAGGCATCCACTGGGGAGGCCCCGGGTCAGAGCACGGCGCTGGCTCCCGCGTGTTCTCCCGTGCAGGCCGGTCTCCTTCTGCGGGGCCCAGGGCTGTGGCCCTGTGGCCGTCTCTGCCCAGCAGCGGGCAGCACAGGCGTCACCTGGGCCTGGCGTAACCGTAGGGGTGCCGCAGCAGCAGGCTCTGGTGGCCAGGCAGCACGTGAGTGTGGTAATGCTCCACCAGGCTGCCCACGCTCACAAACAGGACCTCGCCCTCCAGGTAGAACTTCGCCTCCTGGGTGGGGAGTGGGGCAGGGTCAGAGGGGCCAGCCAGCCGGCCCTCCCTGTAAGACGGGGCGGCCGGCAGTAACACTCTGCCCAGGGGACGCAGGCCAGGTCTGTAAGTAAGCCTAGGGCCGAGGGCTGATCACCCCATCTCCTCTAGGGTCAGTGGAGGACAGAGAAGCCAGGAGAGGGGGGGAGGTGGGGCCACGGAGAGAGGCGACGGTGGAGGAGGGGTGTTTGGGAGTGCTGGCCTCAGACCACCCACTACCTATGCTCTCCCAGGGAGATTCTGCCCTGACCCCAGCCGAGCCCCGGACCAGGTCTCCCCTCCCGCCCAGGGCCCTCGGGTAGGCCAGCCTGCTCACCTTCTCAAAGATGCGGTAGTTCCTCACTTTGCTGGAGGTTTCGTCCCACACGACCAGAACCTGCAGGGAGAGGAGCGGGCAGAGGACGGCTCACTCCCCTCAGGAAAGACACAGACTCGGGGTGCGGGGGCAGCAGCGTCGAGGCTGGGTCCCTGGGAGAGGGTCCCCCTGCCCATGGACAGCAGGGTCAGGATGGGCGGCCCCTTGCCCTGGGACTCCTGCCCTCAGAGAGTCTGCTAAGACGTGACTGACAGTAGCAGGTGCCTGGTCCACACTAGGACCATCTCCGACACTCAAGGGGAAACAGGCTTAAGTGAGGTCACACGAGTTACCCTTGGAGGGGCCCAGGCAGAGCCAGCAGACCTCCTAACGTTCCCACGGCCCCAGGCAGCCTCCCCTTCAAAGAGCAGGAAGGGGAACCCCCTACCCCGTCAGAGCCCCGGGCCCCCCAACCCTTCCTGTGCCTCATGCCCGTGCTGGGGAGTGGGCACCACTGCAGACGGTGCTGAGTTCCTGAGAATGGATGGGGAGAAGGGGCTGTAGACCTCAAGGATGAAACCCGGTTGAAAAGCCAAGTAAGAGGCTGCGCGGGGAAATGAGCTACGAACTGTAGAGTTCTGTGCTCGCCTGTCAGCCCGGGTATGTAGAGAGCGGCAGACCCCACCACGCAGCCATCTTGGGGGCCTTTGCACAGCAGGGTGGCGGCTGAGCATCCTCCCTGGGTGCCTACCTTCCCCGCCTTGGTGGAGGAGTTCCGGATGCAGTAGAGGCCGTCCAGGGGCTCTCCCCGGGGGCTCGTGGCTTTGAACAGCCTACAAGAACACAGCCGTGTGAACAGGTGAGCCCCCCCTCAGACGGCTCTCTCAAGGACCCTCCAGCCCCCACCACCACATGGCTTTCTGTCGTCCCAGATTCTGCAGCTCAGGTTCCGAGAGCACTGGGGACCATGAGGGCCGGCCGCACAGAGCCCAGGGCGAGGCCAGAGCAGGGGCTGAGCTGGCAGGAGTCGTTCTTTCGCCGGGTTTCTCATGGCACTCAGCTGTGTTCTCGTGCCAGTAACTGCCCAGCACCGAGGCTGGAGAGGGGGACCAAAGAGCAGGAAGACCAGAGGGCGTGCGTTCGTGAGTGTGTGTGCGTAGGTATGTGTGTGTGTAGGTGTGTGTGTGTGTGTGTGTGTGTGTGTGTGTGTGTAGGTGGGGGGGGGCGGCAGAGAACCTCAGGTCTGCCAAGACAAGGCCTTGGAGAAAGAAGGGCTTCACACTGACCTTTCCACTTCGCAAGATTCCGTGGTGTTGATGAAAACTGAGCTGGGCAGTGGCACCTGGAGGGAGGCCGGCATGGTCAGCGTCAAGGCCCGGGTGGGGCTCTCCCCGCTGGCTGCCAGCCTGTGCCGGGAGCTGGGGCTGCGCACCGTGTCCCGCGCCCCCAGCTCCCCCGCGGCCGCCCATCCTGTCGGACATCTGGGCGCCCCACCCGGCCTTGCCTTCTCGTAGTCCTCATCAGAGTCCTCCCCACCAGCGTCCGCCTGCGGCGTGTCAGCCTGTGCGGGTTTCCGGGGTTTTTCAAAGGAGAAGCTCCTGAAGCTCTGCCCGTCGGGGGGTGATCTCCTGGACGGGAAGCAAACGGAGGAAGGCCGTGTCGTTGCCAGACGTGGGACAGGCCCCCTCTGCTCCCCCCAGACGCTGCTCCCCGTGCCTCCAAGTGACCACACCAAGCCTGGGGACCCATGAGGTCTGGCGCCTGCGGCCCTGGTGGCTGTCAAAGGCTCAGGACCACAGAGCTCTGGGGGGCTCCACACTGACCGCCCTGGGGTGGCAGCAGTCGCCTGAAGCCTGGCCGCCTGAGCCGGCGTCACCGGCAAGGGGGGTCCTGGGCTCCAGACGCTGTGGGCAAAGGGCCCAGTGCTGCCACGGACCAGCTCTGTGACCTCAGCCACGTTGCACTCCTCCCAGAGCCACGGGACGGATATGAATGGGTCGAGCCAAAGGGACACGCCCCTCACTGTGGCCACATGGTCCGAGCCTCCAGGGCTTCAGGGAGAGTTAAAGGAGGCCACCCTGGGATGGGCTGCCAGGCTGTGGGTGAGGCTGTGCTGTGGACGATCAGCTCTGCCACACGCAGCCCCGTGGCACTCAGGTCCAGACCCAGAGCACGAACACATGAGCCAGCCTACAACTCTGTGGCCCCTCACAAAACAGAACCATGAGTGTGCCAAGGGGTCCTCCCAGGCGCTCCCGCACGGGTGGCAGTGCTAACAGAGCCCTAGGGAGAAGGGTGCCGTGGTCAAGAGTACTCAGGAGGAACCGTACTAGTGTGCCCACTCAGGCTCCCCGCTGGGGCTCCCGGAGCCTTCCCTGCTGAGGGCCCTGCGGGCTGTGGGTGTGAGGACACACCAGTCTCCCGGCACTGCCCAGCAATAAAGCTGAAAGCGTTTCGAGCAGGCCTCGAGGTGAGTCACACACACGTTCCACATTCCACTGGGAACTGGCAGGTTCCCAGTCGGGAAGGGCACAAAGGCAGCCTCGGTGGCGTCAGAGCCAGGGTGGCATCTGGAGCCCCAGACAGGGCCGGGAAGGGCACTTCTGGCTCAGGAGGGCTCAGTCCCACACCTCCCCACAGCACCCGTCCCTGGGCAGGCTGGCAGCGCCCGGAGGGCCCTCACTGCACGGCAGCGGCTCTGGGAGGCTGGGGTGCGCAGAGCCCCGCCTCGCCCACTGCTCCCCAAGGCAGCCACGGGCTCCAGGCTCACCACCCACAGGGCTGGACCTCAAGGGCCAGGCAGGACACCCCTGGGAACCCCCGCGTCAGGTGTAAGGGAGGCCGTTCAGCCTAGGCAGCCCAGGGCCATCAAGGCGCCTTCCTCCCCCCACCCAGGCCAGGGCCGCCTGGCGCCCGTCACGGGCTGTGTGCCAGAGGCAGGGAGGCTGGGTCACCGGTGGGAAGACAGGCTGGGGAGGGGTCCCGGTGGCACCAGTGCGGCACAGACTCACTGGAGGTGGGGGAGGGGCGGCTTTTCTGGCCTGGGCAGGATCGCGGGCCGGGCTGTGGCCTCGGGCGTGGGCAGCTTTAGTGCAGGAGGCCGGGGGGCCACGGCGGGCACGAAGAGTCCGGGCTTGGCTGCCTCCCTCGGGGGGGCCACTTCAGCCACCTTCAAGAACTTGGGCTTGTTGGCCGGCACGGGAGGGGGCTCAGGTGTGGGTGGCCCCCGAGGGGACAGGTGGAAGGACTTGAGCTTGTCACAGTTCCTGGAGGTGGTAGCGGCTGCGCCGGCAGAGCTGGCGCCGTGGCCAGGGACCCGGGGCTCTGGGCCGGAGCTGGCGTCCTCGCGGAAGTAAGGTGGCTTCCGGCTGGGCACGGCGGGCAGGCTGCCTGGTGGGGGTTCACTCACCCTCCGGGAGGGGGTGGGCACCCTGGGGCTGGGCTCGAGCCACCTCGGGCCCAGCAGCTCCCTCCTGGAGTCCTCGGGGGCCAGGCCAGCATCGGGGAGGCTGCGCTTAGGGGGTGCAGGTGGCAGCAGAGGACCTGGACCCTTGGAGGAAAAGGAGTGGGCCTGGGGCACATCAGAGAAGACGGGCTTCCTGGGCGTGGGCACCGGAGGTGGGGGATAGGCCGGTGGGTGGATCAGGGCATCTGCAGAGCGAGGAGACCCATCTGGTGAGCGAGGGTCCCTTGCTAGAGGCCAGAGCAGCAGCACCTCTGCCGGCAAGGGCCGGCCAGGGCCAAGCAGGCGTGCAACCCCTCAGCACCCAGCCCCCCAGCCCGGCCACGCGGCCTACAGCCCCGATGCCCAGCACTCCCGATGCAGCCTTCCTTCTGGGACGCTGGCCCACCCCAGGCCACCCGGCCCTCCCGATCTGTCGCCCATACGGCAGCCTGTGCAAACTTCCTGAAGCCCAGGTGTCACATCAGGAGCCTTCAGCTTCCGGGGAAGCGGGTCGGGGTGAGAAGGACGAAGGGGCAAGGAAGCCTCCCAGGACCGGGCCTCAGCTGGGGTGGCTGGGAGTCCCACTAACAGAGGTGAGGAGGAAAGGCGGGAGCAGGCTGGGGGAAGCTGGGGGTTGGGTTTGCTCCTAACAAGTTGACAGTGCCACGAGACACCTAAGGGACGTCGAGTGGACTCCAGGGGCCCAGGCCCAGTTCAGAGGAGGGGCCCCAGCTGGAAATGTCAGGAGTCAACAGCCTGTCGAGGACACTGGCTGTGGCCCAGGAGCGACAGGAGAGGAGCGGGCCAGGCCTGAGCCCCAGGGTCGTGCGCGTGGGCACCCCGGGCAGCACAGGGCTGGGCGGGAGGGGACCTGGAGCACGAGGTGTCTGGGGCTGGCGAGGCAGGTGGGGGCAGGGAGGGGGCCCCGGGCCAAGTGCCACCCTCGGGCACTGGGGTGGGAACCCTGACGAGAGGCGTTCTGGGTGAGGAGCTGGGAATGCGCAAGCAGGTGTGCAGGGGCACTGGCCCCCTGGAGGTCCAAGGTGGGGATGAGGGTGAGGCCTCCGTGGGCTCTCTCCAGCCAGGGGTGGGGCAGACGGAGGCAGGGCTTCACCAGGGCTGTGGTCACAGGCCCGAGAGATGAGAGCCTGAAGCGGGCGAGCGAGGATGCAAAGACCAGAGAACGGACGAGGGTCTGATGTGGGCTCGGTGCTGGCCTGCAGGTCCTGGTGGGCTGAAGGCCCGTGGGAGCTGGGGCCCCAGAGGGAGGGAGCCAGTAGGAGGGAAGAGGGCTGGCACCTGCACTCGAGGGAGGCACAGCTAAGAGGAGGCCACGAGGAGTTGAGGGGGGCAGAAGGCAAGGTGGCTGGAGAGAAGGCCAAGGAACAGGAAGTCCCCAACCATGATGAAATCAACAAGAACAAGAGGAGCTGGGGGAGGAGAGCTGGGGGTGGAAGGAACAGTGAGTGATGCGACAGACGCAGGACAGAGGCGTGGCCCTCCCCCACCCGTCCCTGCGCTTCCCTGGGATGCCTGGTACAAGCCTGTCCCCTTGCCTGGCCGAGTGCTCTGGGGAGTGGGGGCAGGGTGGGGCAGTTGAGTGACCATCTGGCCACAGGTGCTCACAGCGAGCTATCCTCCTTCCCTGTTCTCAGCCCCCAGGGCCAGCCCTGGCTCAGCGTCCTATGTGTGGGGCTCCCCCTCACCTACCTCTGCACCGCCCCTCCCCCATCCCAGGCAAACTGGAGGAGGTCAGAGGAGCAGGTGAGCAGAGCCAGCCTCTTCTGCTCCGTTCCTCCCAATATTTGGGTTGAAGGAGGAAAACTGAGGCCCAAGGTGGAGACGGTCAGGCCTCAGGCCACCCGGAGCCATACCCAGGCTGAGAGCCCCAGCCCAGGGTGGGGGAGCCTCTGCTCCAGGCCCCAGCCCCTGTTCTCTACTCCCAGCGCTCCCCAGGCCCACCGGGTGCCCCACCCACCCTCGGGCTTCCCGGACTCGGGGCAGTCGGGTTCCATGTAAGAGTCGTCCTCATCGTCGTGCTCGTAGTCTGTGGGGCAGATGGAGGGTCGGACTCAGGGCCACCCAGGCCAGCTGCACCCAGGCCGGGGTGGCCGGGCAGGGCTCTCAGGACCTCGCTCCCTCAGGGGGGCCCAGGACCAGGATGAGGTGGGCAGGATGGGAACCCAAGACCCAGGCTGCCTGGGGAAGCCGAACGGACGGAGCAGGGAGGCAAGCCAGCTACGTCTCCCTCCGGGGCAGCAGCCAGGCGTGGAGAGACGGCGGGCAGAGGATGGGGACGCGCCTCACCTTCATTGTCAGTGGGGTACGGAGAGAGGCTGATGTCCACGGGCCGCTCGATGGCACCGTAGAAGCTGTCTGTGTCCGAGCTGGAGTCGCTGAGCGCAGGGCGGGCAGGGCAGTGAGTACCGGGCAGGGGGTCTCCTGCACTCACAGTCTCGGACACGCAGACAGACATACACACATACAGACAAGGATGCAGCCACACGCACGTGGACACTCAGACACACGGATGCAGACACACACACAGATAAACACGAAAACACACACGGAGACGTGCGGACACAGAAAGATCTAGACACACGTCTACACACAAAACAAGGGCAGACAAGGGGACTGGAAGCTGTGGTGTCTCCCTCCTCAGCCCCACCGTGGTTCTCGCCACAAGTACACCCCGACCGCCCAGACGGTGCCAGGCCTCAAGGCTGGGCCCACGTCCCCACCTGCTCCTGCACTGGGGGCTCAGGCAGGGGCCTGCGGGACCGCCTAGGTGTGCCCAGCCCTACCTGGGCCTCCCTATTCTCATGTCTGAAAGGCCCGGATGGATGCAGCTCCCGCCCAGAGAGCCCCCGCTGCTTGTTGAGCCACCTTCGCTGTGCGGTCATCAACGCCCAGACAGCCTGGGCCACTGCCCCGGGCACTCAGTCTGCTCTCACTCCCTAGTGAGGGGCGCTGGGAACCCGAAGGCCTGAGCTGCTAGAAACGCCGGGCTTCCTGGGTGCGCAAGTAAAAGCACGTGTAATCCCCAAACAGGAACTACCAACGGGGTGCACGCATACACATGCTTACACACTCGGGTGCACACACACAGGTGCACACCCCGCACACACGTGGCCCAGCTGGCACCTTCAGAAAAGCCTTCAAGGAGGGGATTCTGGGCCAAGCCCCCAGGGGTCAGGAGGCAGGCACACGTGTCAAGTCCAGGGCCCTAGTGACACCCGCCCACCATCACACCCCCAGGCCCACCTGGCATCCAGAGGCAGCTCCTTCTTCTCATGGAAGTGGCCAATCTCCCTGCGCAGCAAGGCCATCCAGCTCTGCGGGTCAGTCAGGCCCTCAGCGGGCATGATGGGGCCCAGGGGAGGAACCCACCCTCATCCCTCCTCCCCTGCCCGCACTGGCTGGTCTGTGTCGACCACCAAGGTTGGGGAAGACGACCCTGGCTGGCCCTTCTGGGGCCGCGGCCCCCCTTCAGCCCACCCAGGGTTCCTCCTGAGACAGCGTGCTCTGAGTGTGAGGGGGCTGGCGCCAGGCCCTGGGCGTGAGGACTGGAGACCGGGGGGCGGCACCCACCCAGCTGCCCATGCCCCAGCCATGGCCCCTCCGGGCCTGGACGGGGGCCCTGACAGTTCCCCGTCCCCACAAGGCAGGTCCAACCCGGCCCCCCATCACCTTGCGCTCGTCCTCAGAGGAGGCAGAGAAGAACCACGTGCGGTGCTTCTTGCTGATGTGGACGATCTTGAAGGGGAAGACGTTGCTGGATGTTGTCTCCTCAGCTGCCCGCATCACCCTGAGGGCAGTGCCAGTGGTCACCATGCGGCCCATGCCCGCAGGGACGGCCCAAGCACAGCCCCGCCCCTGGACAGGTCTTGGCACCCAGCACCACGCCCCGAGGGACATGGGAAGATCTGGACGGTTGGCCCATCGATGCTGCTGGCTGAAGGCCTGGATGCGTCAGGCAGAAGGAAGCGTGTGGGCAAGGGTGGGCAGTGAGCGGAGGGCACAGGGGTCCAGGAGGGCTTCCAGGGAGCAGCACGTGCAGGGCTCTGAGATGAGGACATGCCACCCTCGCTGCCCACCAATGCTACTTTACTTGGATGCCTCGGGCTCCGCCTGGTCCCTGGCCTACCTCCTGGGGACCCTCATGGGGCTCGTGTCACCCTCAGCCCTGCCCCTGCTGCCAGGTGGCTGGCCTGAGAACATTTCAGGGAAGTGAATCACTGCGGCCGCTCCTGCAGCCAGGACATGGAGTTTGCGTAGAGATCACAAACTCTACCATGGGGGGCGCTGTCAGGCTGGGCGCCTGGGGCAGGTGTGTCCCTCCAGCCCATCAGACGGCCTGGACCATCCCCTGCTGCAAGGCTGCACTCCCACCAGGCCAGGGGTGGTTGTGTTTGGGGAAAGGAAATGTCCCTCCCCAGGGGACCCCAGAGTCTGACCCACCAGTGCCCGCTGGCAGCCACAGGGCCCTGGAGCCTCCCCCGGCCTCCACCTGGCGGATGGGCACTGGGCTGGGTGCTTGGGGCAAGTTTCCCTACAGAGCTTGCGGCTAGCATGTGAGTGCAGGCCTAGAGTCACCCCCTCCAAGGGCGCCAGTCCTGCCACTGACACCACGGGACCCTCAGGTTCTCAGAGGCAGGAAGGGCTGGGCCCTCCCGGGGTGGGCAGGGGCACAGACTAATGCCATTGGGTGCAGGGCCTGGGTGGTGTGACACCAAGACCTAGAGTCAGGAATCACACTTGACCCCCACGTGCAGGCGAGGCCGTGGGTGGGCCCACACGTGCCAACATGCCCCATCCCCCGGGGAGGGGGAGGCCCAGTGCCCATGAGTCAGAGAGCTCCTTGAGGACAGGCTCCTGGCCAAATGATAGACTGGCAGCCCGCAGCAGGGAACTGGCCCCAGCCTGGGAGGCCCCGGGAGCCAGGGGGCCTGGGGCAGGGCCTGGGCTCTTGGCCAAAAGGAGGCGGAGATGGTTGAGGGGGAAAAGGTGGGGAGGAAGGAGGGACGCAGAAGACACTGGGCTGCGACCGAACGGGGACCCTGTAGAGCAGGCTGTTGCAACCCTCGAGGCTGATAAAGCGGCAGGAAGCCCCAGCCTCGGGTGTGAACCATCTCAGGAAAGCCTGGACTCGCCTTGGGTGGCAACCGGGGGCAAACCCACTGGCCGTGGGGCTGGGGGTCAGTGGGGCACTTACCGGTTGTAGCCACTCAGCGAGAAGGCGCCCTGCGGGGAGGCGGACGTGCTGCTCTTGAAGTAGTAGATGCAGCGCTTGTGGATGATGACGAAGCGCAGGGGCCCTGCGGAGCGGGGCGAGGGCAGGGGCTGAGCCTCTGGGCAGGCCCCACTCCAGGGACCACGCCTGGAGGCCCTGGGCGACTCCAGGCCAGGCCTCCTGCCCCCTCCCCAGGAGTCTACCATGGGGTCAAATGCTGACAGATGGATGGGCATGCTGGTCCCTCCAGGGCAGGGGAGATTCAGGGGGTTGTGTGGTGCTACCGCAGGCCCTAGGGACAAGGGACTAAAGTGGCTCAAGGAAGGGCAGAGCCAGGGCCAGAGGCCCAGGGAGGCCACAGAGCCGCCTTGCTGGGTGGAGCGAGGCTGGGGGCAAAGATGCCCAGAGATCTTGCCAACAGGAGCCACTGCTGTGGAGCCAGTTATGGTGAGAACCCCTGGGGCTACTGCCCCGTCCCCGAGCAGCCCCTCCCAGGCCTGGAGGCGGCTCATTTACAGCCCCTCCTTGGAGGCTGCTGTTCAAAGAGGAGGGCAGACCAATCGGAGCCCACAGAGAAACCAAACCAGTCAGCCTGGGGCACCTCAACCAGGCAGCACAGGGCCAGGGAGTCCCTGGCAAAGGGCACAGCTTGAGCAAAGGCACGGGACGCTCGTGGCTGGTCAGAGGGGTGGGCAAGGCCCTGATGCTCTTGGGCTTCAGCATCTCCCAGGCCTGGGGGCTCTCTCCCTCTCCCAGCCTGCTGTCCTAGGCACCAGAGCCCCGGTCTCATGAAGCTCTGGAGGTCCAGCACCCAGATGGCTGTTGGCCTGGTACGTGGGTTCATTGCAGACAGAGTGACTGCCTGACTCACTGAACACCCACCTGATAAGGTGAGGGCACCACCCAGGGGCCAGACCTACCAGGCCAACGAGGGCTCCCGCCCCTGGCCACAGGCTGAAGCTCCCTTGTCCAGCTGGTCACCACTGTGCACCAAATGCCCTCCTATCTCCACCCGCTGCACCACCCCAGACCCTTCCACAGTCCTGGGGGCTGGGGAGGCCAACCTCAGGGCCCCGAGGGGGTGCCGGCAGGGAGAGAAGGGAAACTCTGGAGGGCCCACCAGGTAAGAAAGGAAGAAGAGGCTCAGAAAGGAAGGGTGCTTGGCCAAGGAGGTCCAGTGGGGCTCAGCCCTGTCCCCACGTCCCCATTGTGCTCCCCACCACTCAGGGGACTCACACTTGAGCAGCTGCAGCTGGGTGCCGCCCTTCTTGTGCAGGTAGCCAGCCTTGGCCACACCCCCAGGCATGGTCAGCAAGTTCTGAGCACCAATGGCCTTCATGGGGATGGGCCAGTGCATCTCCTCGGCCGCCATGAAGCTACAATAAAAAGGGAAGGGGACATGTCTCAGCCAGGGTTGGGGGCCGCACCCTCGCCAAACAATCGTTTGGTGGGTTGGCTGGGATCCACAGTGTCCCAGTCAACCTGGGGCATCGTTCGGGCAGGGGCCACCCAGTGCACGGTCTCCAGGGGCAGGCTGCCTGCCTCAGGGTTAACCCAGGCCCGCAGGGCCCTACATTCCAGGCCCGGCTGTAAGGCCCCGCTGCTCAACAGCCTCTTACTCATGTTCCAGCTGCTCTCCCAGAAACCTGGCAGGTTCTTTCAGTTTCACACTTCCGGCCTCTGCCTGGAATGACTGTCCCCCCTCCTCACACAGAGAACTCCTACTCGCCCTTCAAGACCCAGATTCAGACTCCCCTCTTCTGTGACGCACCTCAATGCCCAGTCACATTCGGGGGCCTCCCGCACCGCACCCCTGGTCCCTCTGAACAGCACCCACCCACCCCGCACTGTTTTATCCAGTGCCTGCCCCCACCCCACCCGGGGCATGGTCCGTCCGGGGGCCCCAGTGGAGTTGGAGGAGCAGTTCGGGTCAGACCCAGAGGCCCAGCCTTGCTGGAACTCCTGCCCCATCCCCAAACACACACACACACAAAAAAACCCACTCCGCTTTCAGCAAACCGGCAGGCTCCAACAGATGTTTACCGCCTCCCGCCTCCCCGCACGCCTGCTCCTCGGCCCCTGCCCAGGTCGCTCGGGCTGCCCGCTCCAGCTCCACCTAAGCACAAAGCCACCCCTCTGGCCTGCGCCCCAACCAACAGTGGAGCCTCCGACAAAGCGCGCCACCCCCGCGCCCGCCCGGCGGCCCGCACCGGACAGAACCCCGCGGGCGTAGGGAGGAGGGGGCCCCGCGCCCGCCCGCCCCGGGTGGTGCTGGCAGACGGACAGGCCCCCGCCCCGTCCGAAGCCCCCAGACCCGCCGGAGCCGGCCCCCGCCCGCCTTTGTTCCCGCCGGAAGCGCCGGCTCGGTCCTCACAGCGTCCACGCGATGGGCACGGCCGGCTTCGAGGGGTTGGCCCGCGCCCGCCTCCCCTGCGCGCACTGACAGGGCATCGGGCCGCGCGCCCGGGCCGCCGCCTCGCCCGCGGCGCCCTCCTCCCGCCGGCCCCTGGCCCGCGGCCGCAGCCCCTCGCCCGCCATGCCGCCGCGCCCCCCGCCCCTGCCCCTGCCCCGCCCCCTGCCCGGCCTCCGGCTCCGCCCCTCGCAGGTGAGGCGCCGCCCCTCCCGTCAGCCCGCGGGGCCTCAGTTTCCCCGCCGGCCGCTGCGAGGGTGGGGCTGCGGGGGCGCGGGAACGAGGGGGCGCGGGGGCGCGGGGCGGACGCCCGAGGGGCCGCCCGGAGTCGGGAAGCCACGGAGGTAAACGGGCAGCCGGCCTCACGACCCCGCGCGGCTGGAGGGCCCCCGACCGCCCCTACACCCGGGCCCCAGCCCCTCCGGCTCCTGGCGGCCGAAACCTTGGAAAAGTGCCTCCTCCTCCTCCCGGAGACCCGGCCCGCAGCTCTGTCAAGGGTGGTGCGGGCCGCCCCGCCTCCCGGGGCTGAGCTGGAGTTGAAGCGGGGCTGGCTGGCGAGTTTCCCCTCCCCCCGGCCCCCCGGGGCGCGAGCACTTAGGCTCCCGGGCGGGGCTGCCGGTCCTCCCTCGTTCCTCCCCCGTGGCCCACTCTGGGCGGGCTGCGTCGCCTCTCTGACCCGGGATTCCTTGCAGGGGTCAGGGCTCCGGTCCTTGGCAGCTCCACCTGCCTGGAAGGATGTGGGCACCTCTCCCAGGAGCCCCCTAGGCTGGCTACAGGCTGGCCTCCCAAGCATGCTGCCTTCTCTACCTCCACTTGCATACAGGCTGCCACCGAGATGGGCCACCTGCAGCAGAGGGTGGGTCTGACAGCTTCCGCCCTGCTCCCACCCAGCGGGCGGTCCCTGGTTTCCAGGCCTCTGCCTCAGGCCAGGGCTCTGGCCCCTTCCCGCTGCAACCAGCCCCTGCCTCTCACGCCTCTACAGCAGCCTCCCTCCAGCCTCTGTGCCTGTTCCCAGTGCCCTTGCCAGCCCCACGCCCCCAGCATTCCCAGCCCTCTAGGCTGCCTCCTCGCAGCCCCCTGCCTGTGCCCCACTCCACCACCTCCGGGCAGCCCCCCCCCACCTCCTCTCCTCAAGTCCCTCCCTGGCCTCCAGTCTCTTTCCTCCATCACCCTCCCCTCAGCACAGGCTCCAGCACACACGCCATGCCCATCACTGCTCTGTTCTAAAGCTCCAGGACCTGCTCATGTCCAGCTGGCCCTTCTGGATCCAGCCCCTGTGGACCTTTCTCACAGGCTGTCCTCCAGCCCTCCACCTCCCGTGTGTGTGCCTGCACCAGCCAGGCCCGTGGCTCCTGTTGCTCAGATCCACTGCGCTGCCCCCTTCAGGCCTCTGTCCACACCGTTCCCACTGCCTGCTGTTACAGCTGAACTAACTCACCCTCAGGAGGTGGTTCAGATGAACCCCAGTCCTTCACAGACTCCTCCCAAAACCGAAGAGCAAGGCACTCATGCTAAGAGGTCGGCGTGGGCTCCCCTGGTGGCGCAGTGGTGGAGAGTCCGCCTGCCGATGCAGGGGACACGGGTTCGTGCCCCGGTCCGGGAAGATCCCACATGCCGCGGAGCGGCGGGGCCCGTGAGCCGTGGCCGCTGAGCCTGCGCGTCCGGAGCCTGTGCTCCGCAGCGGGAGAGGCCACAACAGCGAGAGGCCCGCGTACCGCAAAAAAAGAAAAAAAAAAAGAGGTCGGCGTTACCTTGATACCAAAACCAAAGACCTCGCAAGAAAAGAAAACTACAGACCAATATCCCTATGAATGTCGGCGTAAAGTTCCTCACCAAAATACTAGCAAACTGAATCCAGCATCATATAAAAAGGATTCTACACCACGTGGGATTTATTCTAGGAATGCAAGTTTGATCTAACATTCAAAATTCAAAAAAATGTAGGAAATTGCGTGGTGGTCCAGTGGTTAGGACTCAGCGCTTTCACTGCCAGGGCCTGGGTTCGATCCCTGGTGTGGGAACGAAGATCTCAAAAGCCTCACGGCACAGCCAAAACAACAACAACAAAAAACACAAAAAACAAAACTCAAAGCAGGTAATACATTATATCAATCTAATAAAGAAAAAAAAAACACGCTTATGCTGATAGATGCAGAAAAAGCATTTGACAAAATTTGACAATCCTTCATAATGAGAACACCCAACCAACTAGGAGTGGGAGGAACTGCCTCAACCTGGTAAAGGACATCTACGAAGAACCGAGAGCTAACATCATAAACAATGGTGAGTGACTGAAAGCTTTCCCCTACAAGCAGGGACAAGGCAAGGACATCAGCTCTTGCCACTTCTATTCAACATTGTACCAGAGGTTCTAGCCAGGACAATTATGCAAGAAGAAGCAATAAAAGCTATGCATGGGCTTCCCTGGTGGCGCAGTGGTTGAGAGTCTGCCTGCCGATGCAGGGGACGCGGGTTCGTGCTCCGGTCTGGGAAGATCCCACATGCCGCGGAGCGGCTGGGCCCGTGAGCCATGGCCGCTAAGCCTGCGTGTCCGGAGCCTGTGCCCCCAAAAGGGAAAGGACAAAAGAGGGAGGGGCCCCAGCAAAAAAAAAAAAAAAAAAAAAAAAAAAAAAAGCTATGCAGGTTGGGAAGGAAAAAGTAAAACTATTCAAAGATGAGATGATTAGAAAATCCAAGGGATCCACTAAAGAAAGAATGATTAGAACTGATAAACAAGCTCAGCAAGGTGGCAGGATACCAGATGGATACACCAAAATCAGTCCTATTTCTCTACACTAGCAACGAACAATCCAAAAATGGAAGAGGGTTAACTCAAGTGCCCCCTCTTTCAGGTGGTCCCACCAGCTCAGGCCCAGCACACAGGGGGCACCCAGGCAGTCCCAAAGGAGGTGTAGAATGCTGACCCTGCTGGGTGCTGGGGACTGCACGTTGCCTGGAAGGCGCAGGAAGCTGAAACAGAGCCCCACCCTGCTCCATCGCCTCCTCCCCCATCTGTAAGGAGACCTGGCATCTGTGTGGGGCAGGGGGTGCCAGAGGCAGAGCTGAGCATGATGGGGCCCACCCCTCGTCCTGGCTCCACACCTGAGCGAGCATGGGGAAGGAGCTGGGGTGGCGCGCGGTCCCACCCTGGTCAGCTCGGTGGCCAGGCAGGTGCAGGCCTGTGAGGGGCTCAGTCTCACCTGGCCTCCGTCCCTCTGCGGGCAGGAGGAGGGCTCTTGGGTGTCCACGGGCTGACCTTGGGTGGGGAGGGTGGGTTGTAGCAGGCCTGGTCGTGTTCCACCTTCACCTCCCCTGGGAATGTCCCTGCTTCAGGAACAGACATCCACCGCCCTTCTCCAGAAGATGGACCATCGAAGGGGAAGCTCATCCCGATGGCCGGATATCCTCTGGCCGCCCGGCCCTGCCCTGCACCACTGGGTGAGCTGGGTTGGGACCTGCCCAGGAACACAGTGCTAGGCATGCTCCCCAGTCTCTGCTCCGTGCCCACCCCCACCTTCTCTCTCAGCTGCGATTGGTCTGTGTGACCCAAGGCCCAAGGCTGTAGGGGTGAGGGCAGAACAGGCCGGAGAAAGCTGCTCTTTCCCACAGAGACAGCCCCGTTGGGCTCCAGGAAGCGCAGGCTCTGTGGCTTCCACCTGCCTTGGGGCTGCGAGCCTCCGGGGCGTGTGGTCACATCCCCTGCACAGGCCCACACATGAGCCGTGGCTCCGCACACTCGGTCACTGTCACACGCGGTGCACCCAGACAGGATGTGTGCATGAGCCGCACGGCCCGAAGGCAGAAGGTTCTGTGTGTGCACGTCAGTGTGTGTGCACACGCGTGTGTACCGGTGTGAGCCTGTGCACCAGGTTGCCTGGAAGGTGCATGAGGAAGGCGCTGGAGGGCGGGGTTCCCTCGGCTCTCCTCTCCTGCACCCGCAGGTGCGGTCTTGGCTGTGGTGAGGGAGCTGGCACCTCGTGGACCACAGGGTCGGGGTTCCGTCAGTGGTGACCAGGCCGCCCATGTGTGGGAGCTGCAGGGTGAGGAGGGTCTGGGGGGTCCCAGCCCCGAGGGAGAAGAGACCAGGTCCCCCAGTGCGCTCACTCACACCTATGCACACCCCCTGCACAGGCCCACACATGAGCCGTGGCTCCGCACACTCGGTCACTGTCACACGCGGTGCACCCAGACAGGATGTGTGCATGAGCCGCACGGCCCGAAGGCAGAAGGTTCTGTGTGTGCACGTCAGTGTGTGTGCACACGCGTGTGTACCGGTGTGAGCCTGTGCACCAGGTTGCCTGGAAGGTGCATGAGGAAGGCGCTGGAGGGCGGGGTTCCCTCGGCTCTCCTCTCCTGCACCCGCAGGTGCGGTCTTGGCTGTGGTGAGGGAGCTGGCACCTCGTGGACCACAGGGTCGGGGTTCCGTCAGTGGTGACCAGGCCGCCCATGTGTGGGAGCTGCAGGGTGAGGAGGGTCTGGGGGGTCCCAGCCCCGAGGGAGAAGAGACCAGGTCCCCCAGTGCGCTCACTCACACCTATGCACACACTCATTCATCGCAGGCCTGCATGCACGCTTATACACTCACGCCCGAAGGCACACTCTCACATACCCACCTGCACATAATCATACGTGCACACGTACACACATGTACTCGCTCACACAGGCTCACACGCATACGTATGCACACACTCATTCATCGCAGGCCTGCATGCACGCTTATACACTCACGCCCGAAGGCACACTCTCACATACCCACCTGCACATAATCATGCGTGCACACGTACACACATGTACTCGCTCACACGCATACGTATGCACACACTCATCGCACATGTACACGCTCACATTCATTCTTATACATGCACTCATTTCCACACATGCCTGCTTGCACTCAAATGTACTTATACACACACACTGACTCACGTGTATATTCACACACACACACACACACACACACACACACACACACACACACACAGCCTCCAGGGGCTAGCAGGACCTTTCATGGGTGGCCCCAGTGCCCTGGGCAGGCAGCTTGGGCACAGGTCAGAGTAATCATCACTACCCCGCAGCCCTGCACTGGTCCAGAGCCAAGTCTGACCTGACAGCTCATTAAACCCCACAGGCATTGCTTTACCTCCATCTCACAGACTAGGACACTAATGAACAAGCTCAGCAAGTCGTCAACTCGCATGGCGCACACCGGGCACTCACCGTGGGGACCAGACTCTGTGCTTCTCGAGGACCACCCCACGTCACCATCCTAACACCCCCTGACGTGTGAACCTGTGTCACCCCCACGACACTGATGAACACGCCGAGGCTCGGAGAAGCTGAATAACTCAGAAGTCATACAGCCAGTGAATAGTGGAGCGCTCAGCCTGTCCCGCCCCGCACAGAGCGGGCGCTAGGTGGCGCTGGAGGGGCGGGGCCGCAGCGCCTCTTGGTTCCGTCTCTCCTTTCAGTTTCTCCTCCCCCTTCCTCTTCCCAGAATCTTTCTCCATAAAAGAATGAAAACCAAAAATCTCCAGTGAAGGCCAGTGACGAGCCATGCCAGAGGGAGGGAGGGAGGCACGACCTGGGCTGGGGTCCCTGAGACCCTGAGGCTCTTCGGCTCCCTGCCAGGCCCCCCAGCACTGCGCTCCCAGGGCAGGCAGGCAGTGGGAGCTCACACAGCTCTCCGTGTCCCCGCAGTGCAGGCACGGTCACACTGACACATCATCACACTCACACACGCACACACACAATGTGTGCACCCAGGACCCAAACGCCAAGGCCACCCAGGCAGGGCAGCACATGACCAGGGGGCGGGGTTGTCCTCTCTGGGCTCCCACTTGCCCCGTCCAGCTGAGGGCTCTCCTCTCCGCGGCCCAGGGCCAGCGTCCTGTGCGCCCCACCGCGGGCCCCGTTGAGGGGGGTTCTGACTCCTCACGGGGACTCCCTGAGCGGCTCTACAGGTGCTGGGCCGGCACCACCTCCCGAGCCCCCAACCCCAGGACCGCCCTGCTGACCTGGTGGCACTGACCCAGCACATGACTGTCTTCTTGCCTGGCGACGGCTTGGGGGCAGGTGTCCTGGGGCCCAGGAAGGCCATGTGGCTCAGGGGCCACGGGGCGGGGCTTCAGCCGGCCTCCCCTAGGCAGGCGCGGTGCAGTGCCCCGCGCAGCCCAGAGTGCTGGGCCGGCTACGCCCGCGGAGCCTCCTGCTGACAGCCGCCTGCTGCATCTGGGGCCCGTGGCCTCCAGGGCTTCCTCCCCGCCCAGGGCTTCCTGTTGCCGGGCCCCTGGGCAGCCCCGGGTAGCCAGAACTTCCTGCCTTCCACCCTCTGAGGTCCTGAGGCCCAGCGCTGTGCCCAGTCAGTGCCGTGTGGCCTGCTAGCTTTGGGCCACGCCCACTGTGGCCAGAGACCGCAGCTCGCCAGGCCCCGGGATGAGGCCAGTTGGACTTCTTCCCAGCAAATCGCTGAAGCCCCAAAGCCCAGGGCGCCAGGCCTGGCCTCCCTGACCCCAGAGACAGCCACACAAGAAGTCGGTGCTTACGCCCCACACGGGGAGCTCACTACTACCTGGGCGTGCTCCCACCACCACCACCACGGGCGCCACTGCCCAGCTCTACCTTCCGAGGCTACACAGCGCAGCTGTGCCCCTGGCACCAGAGCCTTCTGCGTTTCAAGGTGGCCACCTCTCTGCCCTTTGACACCAAGGGACCAAGGGATGGGTTCCGAGCCTGGGCCCAGGCGTCGGCCCGTCACCTTCCCTCCTCCCCCAAGCCTTCTGCCCCACCCCATCCCCCCACTCCAGGCACAGCCTCTGTGACAGAGCCGTGATCGCCGCTGTCTGCTGCCTCATGAACACCTGGCTGGCTAGAGAGCACTCACAGCCCCAGCGGCAAAGCACAGCCCTGGCACTCCCTGGTCCCTGACCGGGTCCCTCCCAAGCCTGCTCTGCCCCACCAAGCCGGGCTTCCTCCCCCGCCCGGGTCCACAGCCAGGAAGCTGGGAGCAGGGATTCAAGCCCAGGCTGCTTGGTGCTGAGCCCCCAGGCCCCCTGCCTCTCCTCCCCTGAGCTTGGGTCTCAAGGTCACACCTCGCCCAGGGAGGACAAGACCAGCTGGAGGAAGGAGTGCTTTGGGGCCACGCCACGGCAGGATTTGAGGGTGACAGAGGCCGCAGACTACGGGGTCCTCGGGCGTTGCAAAGGCCTCGTCCTGCCCGCCAGGTTTACCAGGGCATAGCCCTACAGCCAGCTGTGCCGGTGCCTAGACAGCCCGCATCCCTGTGTGTCGGGGCCTGAGGGAGGCCAGCCCTGGGCTGGGGGGCCTCCATCTCCCAATGTGTGCACAGCCCCAGACCCCTGCCAAGGTCCCCGCATCACCTGGGGGCCAGTCTGGGGTGTGAGACTACCTGCTATCTCCTGGAGGATGGGGCTTTTGTGTACGAGCTGTCCTCAGGGCGGGACCCTGGCCTCCGCAGCCTGTGTCAGCCTCAGTGCCCTCGGTGGCCGTGGGCAGGCCACGCCTTCAGGAGAAAGCTGACCACAACAGATGGACGGGTGGTGGCAATGGGGAGGTTCAGTGGGGCCCCCTGCCCTTCCCCTTTGCAGCCTGCCCAGAGTGGGGAGAGGGCTCCCAGTCAGACTCAGCTGGGCACCCTGCCCACCTCTATCCTCTGCCAGCTGTGCGCCTCAAGCTACTGACTTAGCCTCTCTGAGCCTTAGTTTCTTCATCAGTGCTCAGGGTTGAGATAAAATAGCAGGTTAGGAGCCCCTGGGGCTTGGGCAGCCAGGACAAGCCAGTGGAGCAGTTCTGGGACGGGGCAGGGGCTTCAAGGGGCCGTGAGGTCCAGAGGAGGTGCCCAGCAGGCACTGGATCAGGGGAGGCCTCCAGACGAGGGGCCAGGTTTGACTGAGAAGGAGTTTGCTGGGGCAGGGGTGGCCTGAGGAAGTCAAAGTCCGGGCAGCAAGTGGCCAGAGCCGGGGGAGGCTGCAGGGGTGGGCGGCAGGCGGGGAGGGGAGGGTGTGGGCACAGGCCTGCAGGTGAGAACTGCCTGGAACCGGGAGGCCGCCAGGCTCTCCCTGGGACATCCCATCCCAAGGATGGATCAGGAGGCCTGGGGTCCAGGAGCCACAGCCTCCCCTTGCCCCTGCCCCAGGAGGGCCACCAAGCGCTATCCACAGCAGAGGCAGAGTAGGCAGAGGGCCACACCCGCTGGAGCCCTGGCTCAGCACTAAGAGGCCCTAGGGGCAGTCACGCCCGAGCAGAGGAACAGGGGTCTCCGTGGAAGTCAGACCTGCGTCGACTCCTTCCCCAGCCCTACTCCCTCTGGGAGTCTGAGGTCAGGATTCCCGGGGTTGCTTTGCGACCTCTGAAGGCCCCGCCACTCCAGGCCTCTGTTCCTCCCTGTGCCCTCCCATCTCCCGAGGCAGCATTTCATCCGTGCAGCAAATAACGCAGCGATTCACATTCCTCAAACAGAGGACATTCAGGGTCCCTCCTTCAATAGTGGGAGCTCCACGACCTTTCACACTGTGCTGAGAATAACCAGCCCCCAAGCAGCAAGATGTGTGGGGCTGGGGTCCCTGCCCTCAGCAGCTCTGGTCTTCCACTCAACCCTCCCCAAGTTGCAGCTCCTCCCCCAGCTCCCAGGGCGGCTGCCTCTAAGTTCCAGGCTTGGGGACCACCCACCATGCCAGACGCAGCACACTTAGCAGGGTGGGTAGGACTAGACAGCAGCCGGCGGGGCAGGGGCCAAGAGTCAGCCTGAAAAAGTGGAAGGGAGAGCCTTCTGGCTTCCAGGGGTCCTCAGCCTGCTCTGGAGCCAGGCAAAAGCCCAGGCAAATGCCCACCACCTCTGCAGCAGGCCATGGAGCCTGCCCCACCCTGATGCTCACAGCCCACTTACCTGCGGTGACCCTGGGGATGCTAGGGTTCAAAGAGCAGGGCACTGGCCGGGCCAATGGTCAGGGAACAGAGGTGTGGGGACTGGAACCACGTCCCTGAGAACCCCAGCTCGGTGTCTCCCGCAGTCTCCCAGAGCCCTGTGCCCAGTCCAGTGCCCACCTGTCACCTTCAGGCCAAGGAGGGCCTGCCAGGCTCAGGGAGGGCCCTGGGGCCAGGGAAGGGTGGCTGGCACCTCCATTCGTGTGAAAACCTCAAGCTCTCAAAATAAGATGCTTTGCATCAGTCCCTCACAAAGGAAAGGCCCAAGGCCACCCACAGCCAGCCTGGGGCCCACCTACTTAGTCCCCACCCTCCGGGGCCAGGGCCACGAGCCCTTCCCCTGTCTGAGCCTCACTCCTCTCTGCACAGGTGCTGTAAGCTGCCTTCCTGCGCAGGGCTGCAAGGATTCCCGGGAATTTGGTCCTGGGTGCCATCCAGCTGGGCAGAGGGAGCGGGTGGCATAGAGGGCAGGGTCCTGGTCACGGCCACCCAGTGTAGTGGGCTGAATGGGGGCCCCCAGAGACATATGTCCGAGTCCTAGTCCCTGGGAACTATGACCATGACCTTATTTGGAGAAAGGATCTTTGCATATGTAATTAAGGATCTTACCATGGGCCCTAAATCCAACAACAAGCATCCTTATAACAGACAAAAGAGAAGGGGGAAAGAAAACCCGGAAAAAGAGATCAGACTTGCGGTTACCAGAGGCGGAGGGTGGAATTGCAGGAAGGTGGTCAAAAGGTACAAGCTTCCAGTTATGAAATAAATAGGTCCTGGGGGTGGAATTGCAACACGGTGACTGTAGCCAACAGTGCTGTACGGTGTGCAGGAAAGTTGTAAAGAAAGTAAATCCTAAGAGTTCTCGTCACAAGGAAACATTTTTGTCCCTTTTTTCTTTTCTTTTTATTGTCTCTGTATAAAGAAGGTGGATGTTAGCTGAACCTATTGTGGGAATCATCTCACAGTATATGCAAATCAACCATCATGCTGTGTGCCTTAAACTTAAAAATAAAAAGAGAGGGCTTCCCTGGTGGCGCAGTGGTTGACAGTCCACCTGCCGATGCAGGGGACGCGGGTTCGTGCCCTGGTCTGGGAAGATCCCACATGCCGCGGAGCGGCTGGGCCCGTGAGCCGTGGCCGCTGAGCCTGCGCGTCCGGAGCCTGTGCTCCACAACGGGAGAGGCCACAACAGTGAGAGGCCCGCATACCGCAAAAAAAAAAAAAATTATAAAATAAAAAAAATAAAAAGAGAGAGAGGAAAGACACAGAGAAGAAGGTGATGTGAAGACAGAAGCAGAGATTGGAGTGATGTGGCCATAAACCAAGGAAGCTGAGGGCTGCAGGCAGCCACTAGAGGCTGGAAGACAAGGGAGGAAGGAAGGATTCTCCCCTGGAGCCTCCCGTGGGAGCGTGGCCCTGCTGACACCTTGATTTTGGAGTCTGGCCCCAGGACTGTGAGAATAAATTTCTCTTTTTTTCAGCCCGCAGCTTGTGGTACTTTGTTAGGGCAGCCGTAGGAAACTATTTTACACGGAGACTGGCTGAAGTTCTTCCCCTGGATGAGCTCACAGTCAATTTGAAGTCCTGGGCGTGCCAGCAGGGTGAGGCTCGCTCTGTGTGAGGCATCCAGCTGGATAGGGTAAATCTGAGCGGGCTTCCACAGCCTCACCACCTCCCACCCTTCCCGTGCACGGGGTCGGAGGCCACACCCAGCCTACACCCACCAGACTTGCTGGGCCCACCTCCGGACCCTGGTTCCCACCCCTGGACAGCCCTTCCTTGGCTCCATCCAGCCATTTCCACCACGAAGCAGAGGCCAGGCTGGTTCCCTGGCTGAGTGTATGGGGTCTGGCCCCTGCTTGCTGCCCTGAGCCCTCGACTCTGGGCCTGTCACACAGAACCACTGTGCCCCACTCTGAGTACGCGCAATCTTCTCCACCTGGAAACTATATCCTCTCCAACAAATGCTCCCTCATCCTCTGAAAACAGAACCATCTAGACCCTCACCCCCTCCTCTGCAATCTCCAAGTCAATGGCACAGCCTTGCCCACCAGGGTGTCACATGTGTTTGTATCCCTAGCACTCCCCATGGGCCTGGGTCCCACTGAATCCCCAGAGCCCGGTGCCTGGCCCACAGAAAGGGCCAAGAGCCCGATGGATGAGTAGACAGATGGGTTCAGCGTCACATCTACACACACGGCCATACCCCTGATGTGGCTATACAAGCACATGCCTGGACCTCAGAGCCAGAGTGAAGCAGTAATCTGACCAGTGGCTGTAGCAAAGTCCCATGGCCCAGGACCCCCCAGCCGCCTGGTGAGGTAAGCCGCCAGCCAGCACTGGGTGAGCACTGGAGTCTGCTCATTGCAAAACAGAGAACAGCCCAGCATCCCCCGAAGACAGCAGTGTGCTGGGGTCTAGGAGGCCCCCAGGGGCTTCTCAGGGCTACCCAGGGTGGAGGCGAGAGGCAGTCCAGCCACTCCCGTGTCGGCGGCAAAGGGAATTAGGGGAAGTGCAGAAAGAGGCCCACATGCACAGCTGCCCACATGGAGCCTGGGCTTCAGAGGGTGGTGGCCAAATGGGGTTTCTACTCTGGGACCCTCGGCCCTCGAGCTCTGTCCCCATAGAGGACTCGTAGAGCCCACGTATCCCTGGATGCCCCCCACCCTACCCCGTAGCAAGTTGGGGCCCTCCTCTCCAGGCCTGGCGTCTCTGCCTCTAGCAAACATTCCCAAACTGAGCAGCATCTCTCAAGGGCCGGGGTCGAGGGCTGGATTAGCCTGGGGAGCAGAGCTGGGGCCCCTCAAAGAGTCGGGGCCGCTGCGCACCGCACACCAGGTGCGGGACACACTCAACAGAGCCCTGGGGAGGAGGGAGCTCGGGGCCTGGCCAGGAAGAAGCAGCACGTGGGTGGGAGGGAGGATGGCTGGGCAGGGGTCCAGGCCCAGGGTCCCTGTCCTTGGATATGGCCATGGTGGGCAGGGGTCGGTCTGGGGGAAGCATAGGTTAGCATCGTCACTCTCTCGTCTCAAACCACAAGCCAGCAGAGGCGTTTCAGGATTCACACTTCAGTTCATCATGACACTGACAAGTTTCCACTTTTTAATTGCTTGAGGAAAAAGCTCTCCAGAGTGCTGACGTGTGGGCGGGGTCCGCCCCCGTGTTCCTGGCCCCTCGCCTGCCGGCAGAGGCTCACTGCTGCGCATCACAGCCAGCAGGCACCACAGGTTCCCAGCCCCGCCCGCCAGGACAGGGCTGCTCCACCATGGGACCTCGGTAGGCAGGACGGCGCGGTGGTGATGGCACAGGCTTCCTTGGGGACAGGATGGGCTCAGTCCTAACCTTGCGGCCCACAGCTCCTGTGCGGGGCTGTCCCGAGGGCCACCGGGCATGGCTGGGGGGCAGGGTGACTCCAGGGATTCCGTGGGCCACGCCGTCATCACCGTCGCGTCAGGAAGGGAGAGCGCTCTCCTGAACCTCCCCTGCTCAAAGCCAGGCGACACCTTCCCATCCTGCCCCCGTGGGTCTGGAGCCCCGAGTATTCCCGCCTCCTTGCTCACCACTGGCCCCATCTGAGCCAGGCTTGCAGGGTTGAAAATTCCACCTGAAGGTGACGGATACCTTTGCCCAGTGCTGTGCTCAGCGTGGAGCGACATCTCCCTTCCCCTTGGTCCCACCCCTGCCTCCTCCGCCCCACGTCCAGACCCACCACCTGCACACACCGCCCCTGCCCTTCTCCTGCGCAGGCTCCGCCCACGTGCAGGGCCACAGTGACGGCGGCATTTTCAGCCTGTCTGTTGACTTTCTGACCCTTCTTCGATACAGCTCGATGGGGGGTGACATGACAGCCACTCCTTGTGTCTGTCCCCTGCAGTGTCCCCAGCATGAAGCTGCCCTGGGCACCTCCCGCAGCGTGAACAGATCCCACCTCCTTAGCTGGACACTCCCGACTCCACATGGGGTCCCATTACGGAGCTCGTTCACTGAAT